GTTTAATGCCAACATGTGAAAAGCACAACATTGCCAGCACACAGTAAGTACTCAAAAAATATTAACTAGCTTAACCTCCTTATTAGTCCATTTTTCATTACTGTAATGAAATACATGAGACAGGCTAAGTTTATAAAGGAATGAGGTTTATTTACCTCACAGTTCTGGAGATCTCCTGGCCTCTAGTGGGAATGTCATGGTCGATGACAGGAGTGTGTGTGGGAGGAAAAGATCACATCTCTGCCAGGGTGTAATCTTTTCTGAGGGCACATCCCTAATTGACCTAAAGACTTCTCAATAGGCCCAGCCCCTTAAAGGTCCTACACTACACCTCTACACTAACTCCACAATAAGCATTCAGCCTCTAACACATGACCTTTGGGGATTAAGCCACCTCCAAACCACAGCACCCAACAAATTATAATTCACAGACTCCCTCCCTCCCCTGCCGAGGGCCAACCAGCACATGGCTTAGGCATCCAGAGAACAAGATCCTAGAAGGCTCAAATCATGGGCCTTTTGTGACACTCCTCAGCTCCCACTGTAAGATAGAGAGAACACCAGAAGCTCACCAGCCAGACCTAGTCTTTTGTGAAAAGGTTCCTACCTCATGGTATAGGTTTTCTGAAAACTTTTTTGCTCTGTGAACTTCGCAGATGGTAGGGATGTGTGTATCATGCTCAATTACATGAATCATGTACATTACCTGAATCACCTGATCCAGTTGGTGGTAAGCTACTTTACAGTCAGCGACAGCAAATACAATTTGTAATGTTCACAGTCACTCAGGGTTAAAAACAACACACTTTGTATCAATATAGAAATTCAGTTCACAGAAAGCACTCCTTTACACCCTACGGGCTCCCCTCTCCCAGTGCCTCATAAGTTGCTGTCTTGGCTGGTTGCTTAGCTGGATTTTATCCTATTGGTGATGATGGATTTGGGATGACCCATGCAAGTCACTCACCAGATTGTCCCCACTCACATATTTTTATGATGACAGATCTAGCCTATGACCAAAAAAACCAGGCTCACCAGTCAATACAAAGAAATCTCACTAATAAACCTTGTTAGAGCCTAAACATACCACACAAACACAATGAACATTAATTACTAATTAGCACACAGACTGATCAAGCATTTTTGTCACATTTGCAAGTATAACTTTATATTTTGGTTTGTAATAAAACAAAGAAAACACGTAAGAGAGAAGGGAACTAGACACCAAAGGAATACATTAGAAGCTTCCTCATCCCTTTTGTGCCTTCCTTAACCTGTCCTACCCTGAGCCTCCCAGTCCTACAACCAAGGCCCATCATAAGCTCATCCTCCAGGACGTTCAGGGCACACACAATGCAGGGATTCCCTCAAGAACTGTTAAATAGGTTAAAGAAAATACCGAAATGTGGTTTTATTTGCATGGGTATTAAATGACCCTCAAAAGTCTTGTCACTTCCTGCTTCATTACCACTCCCAATTTTTCCAGATGCTAAGACTTGTTTAAATGGTAACCCAACACCTACCACCAGGTCAGTCGTGGTCATTCCAGAAAGTATAATAATATCAGCAGCATAATCACAATACATAAATGTTTTATATTTGAAAAGCAATGTGCTGTTTAGAAATAAATTTCCCTCCACTCTCTCCTTTGAGCATCATTGGCATTGTATGGGCATAACCAACTTTCTTGCTGTCATTTTGCTGGTACAAGGGGGGAAGGTGAAATATAGACAAATCTATGTGTGCAAGTCAAGACAAAAAGAACATTTTGAACTGAGAGGAATCTAGAAGTTGATCTTGTCCGACTTCCCAGAAAAACCTGGTAAATATGTTTCTCTTTTGTTGTAGCTTGACTATTTTCTTGTTCCTTATTCAAAACATTCTGCACAGTGCCTTGCTAGTCCTACCTGTCAGCAAAGAAAAAGATACTGGTACTGCTTGTTGGGAGGACAGCTAAATCTTTACCCACAGACCTAGCAGGTGTGAACATGGCCAGAAGGGTGTGTGGCCTTCTAGGCAGATGTCCACATCAGCTGGAAAACAGAGATGTTTATTTTAAATTACCAACCCAGCAAGACAATTTAGATCTTGATAATCTTAAAGTTAAGTGTAAATGATACATTTTGCATTCCCCTGAACAAAATACCTCACCAAACAGATAACATCTTGTCTCAATTTACATGCAGGTGGGTGAGGCGAGGAACCACCCTCACATTCATTCAATAAATAAATACTGGGCCCCAAATACATGCCAAAGAGCCAAGGCAGGCACCCGCACCAGGTGATACCTATAATTATTTAGGATTTACAAGTTACCACTATTTCCCCGAATTGAAGTCAAAAAAAATTCTGTCTTGAATATTAAGGTATTATCACTTGCCTTTCACCTTGGCCATCACCTCTCAGAACATTTTTTATAAGTTAAGAAATCAACAGCCACTTTTAACATCAGAGAACTTTCTTCCTCTGTTTTACCATCTCATTCCTATTAAAGCTGTTAAAAATAGCACCTCCACCTTTCTACTTCACCCTTCCCACTCTCCTCCAAGTAAGAAAGGCTAAGCTAATGACATTGAACCTGAAGAACAATGGACACACACACACACACACACCTCTCTCTTCTTTCCAACAGCAACCCAAAAAGTTGAATGCCAATTAAAAAGAATGAAAAGACACACACTATTGCTCTTGTCAAGTGCATGGAAGGGCAATGACTCCAATTCACTCAGCAAAATCTAGATCTAACTTGCAATAAAGACCTTTTTTTTTTTTTAACCTTTTCTGGAAAGTAACTAAAAGAACTAGGAATCGATTTACTTTTAAACATAAGATCCCAGACACAGCCAAAGAAATTGATTTTGTATTTCTGAGAAACAGGATTTTAAACACCATACAAAGATGATGCATAAGCAAACAAATCAATATGAAAAGCAGGAAGAAAGGAGTGATAAGACATTTTCTCTGAAAAGAAAATGTTGATAAGCAAAAAGTAAACAAAATAAAACCACCTCAGGAGGGCTGGGCTTTGTTTTGGGTTTTTGTTTTTCCACTAGTCCACTTAATGGTGAAAGATCTTTTTTAAATGATCAAGAGGGATTCCTGTCACACTTAAAAAAAAACTGAACTGTTTCCTTTAAGATTTTTTAAAATGATTTTTATAGGACTATTTGGCTGCACTTGTGAGTTTTGAAAGCAAGGTGAAAAGTGACAAAATAATGATTTTATACAAAAGCAAAACTGGGATGTCAGTGTGTGGGGGTGTTAAGTAAAACAAAAGCGCAAAATCAAAAATTGGGGCCCACTGATTTTTGACATAAAGCTTTTAGTGAACTGGCAGAGAAATGAATCTGCTTTTAGGGTAACCTTGGGCCCACAAACATTCATTCACCTACCCTTAGCCTATGTCTAACTGGAGGCTAACCTGAGCTTTCAACACTGTTTCACAAAGTGTTCTGGTGGGTTTGGCACCTCAAAGACAATTTTGTGATGCAATTTGCCAAGTTAAAACACACTCAGTAAGTAAAATGATCAGAACCATGTGTGAATTCCTTTTTAGGCACTACTTAGTGAAGTATCCAAAATTAGCTTCCAGTAGTAGAGGTAATGTCACTCTTTCCTATTTGGCAATTATACTCAAGAAACTTTAGGCAGATTGATTAATTTGTAGCTTTCTCTTGCAATCACTTAACCTAGGAAATAGTCTTCTGGACACATCTGGGAACTTCTTAACCTACGGAGTACCTTGTATTTTAAAGAACGTTCAGGAACAGAAAGACCACTTAACGCTACAGTAAGTAGGTAGATAACATCTCTTTAACACAAAGAAGTTACTACTATCAATAAACAGAAGCGAATATGAACTGGGATATTTTGAAGTGGTTCCATTCACAATGTCAGGCGTTCACTGCCCTCACCATCCTTCCCCACAAGTTGAAGCTATGAAGCTTTAAGAGAAACATTCTATGTGTGCATACTTAAATAAACCCAAACACGCACAGAACAATCCCAAAACAGCCCTTGCCCAGCGTTTCCTGATCCCCAAAGCATTCACACTCATTCTCAGCACAGCCTTAAGTGTAATTCCTAGAAGGCACTGGCAAGTCTCTGCCAGGCCAATCTGCAGTTGAAAACCCAGTGCGTGTGTCCAAGACAACAGGAGGGTCAACGTCAGCTCTGCAGGGCAATAGCGGTTCCGCTTAACACCGTAATTGCATGGGATCGAACACAGCTCATGTAATGAGAATCTGCTTGACCACACACAGGCAGCTCTGGGGGAAATACAATTTCTCAAACAAAGCATAGTACGTGCATAATTCTACAAACGTACCCACGAGTCCTCTTTGCTGCTCTAAGTGCTCGTCCCCGCACAGGGTTGACACTTTCCCACCTAAACTTCTCAGCTCAAACCTGGCCTAAAACTGAGCAAACAGCAGCACGCACCACGACCGGACCTGTGGGGTCAATACCTTGGCCCTACCCCATCCTGCTCTGGCCAGGTGGCAATGCAGTTTAGTCCTGTCTCCTTTATGGTAATGTCCTTTTAAAATGCAGCCCTGACCGAGGTCATAGCTTTAGAGATCTAATAACAACCAAATGACCGGGGCTGCCGGGCACTTAGTGAGCCATTCTGGTTATGGCTCTTTAATAGCAGCACCTGGAGTTCTGCTGAAGGGAGAGCGGAAAACTCCTGCTTCCCGGGAAAGTCCTCTGCGGGGAGCGGAGGGGAGCCGGCCGCGGGGCCCCATCTCGCAGCCCTGCACGACCCTCGCCCGGCAGCACCGGGGGCCCGCCCCGGCCGCGCCTTTACCTGTCAGCCCCTCCACCCAGCCTCCCGAGCTGCTGCCTCTCCAAGTCCCGGGCACAGCAGCGGCCGCGGGAGAAAGAACCCCAAAGGCATCCCATCCCAAAGAAAGAAAGCGAGAAGGCTGCTCCTATAGGCAGGGGGCCATCGGGCACCAGGAGATCCGAGAAGCGACACGCCACCCCTTCCCCACACCTACCAGATAATCCATGTACAGAAACGCCTCAGTTATCCGGAGATCAGACATCCGTCAGCCTAAAGCATCCGGAACAGCTCAGAACCCGGAAAAAAAAAAAAAAAAAAAAAAGCAGCTTCTCTGGCTGCAAGCGAGCAGCTCCAGAAAAAGCCAGCAACAACGAAAATCGCCGAGAGCAGCCGAGAAGCCGAAGATTACACAAGGGGCGCGGCGATTGGCCGGGCGGGCGGGCAGAAGGAAAGGAGGGCGCCCATTGGCTGCGGCGTCTATAAAAGGCAGGCCCCCGGCAGGCGGCAGGAGAGAAGCGCGGGAGAGGCTAAGGGCGAGCGCTGGTTCCTGTGTACAGGCGGGGGCAGTGGTAGGGGCGGGGGCAGCGGCGCAGGCGGAAGAGCGAGCGGGGAGAACGGAAAATCGGCTGGCGCTGTCGCCGCCCGAGCTCTGCGCGCTTCCGCAGCTTCCAGTTGGGGAAAGTCGAGCAGCACTCCAGCTGCAGGGGCTGGAGAGCGTTGGTGTCCCCGCCCACCTCCCAGTAGGAAACCAGCGCTGTTCAGCGGGAGGCGTGGTAGCCACCAAAACTTAGTTTCTCTGCCTCCAGCGCTCTCCTAAAGACTTTGCAGCCTCAGAGACAGCGCCACCGCACCAGAAATGCGTAGAAGGGTGCGCTCTGAACCAGCAGCCTATTCACTTCTTGCGGGCAGGAAGACACTCCACGCGCTCACCGTGTGACACTGCTGAGGTGAACAACTCCAGCCCGATGTCGCACAGGCCCCGCGCCTAGCCCGGGGTGGTCACCCGAAGGCACCGTGCCTCTTAGGACGCCTGGCAGCCCCGGGGCGATTGCTGGCTTCCACGTGAACGTTGGACTCCCGAAACGCTCGGGAAGGAGGGACTGGCTCTCAGTTCTTTGACGCTAATTACGCTGTGCACAAATCCCGTGCCCCTGAACAAAAAAAGCAATAGAATAGGCTCTCTGAAAGTACCCAAATAATACCGTTTTTGTAACTCGATCTCGTTTTAAGAAGAAAAAAAAAATCTATAAACAGATGCACTTGATACTTCTGCGTTTTCTGGTAAATAACTTGGAATGAGCATGTGGATTTCAATATTGCATGAAGCTGGGGGGCCAAGAAGCTAGATAAGATCATTTGATACTTTTTTTTTTTTTAAGATTCAGGCTATGAATGTCATACTCAAGACAAAGATGAGCCAAGATAAGTACACCTTTCTTTACAGTTGAGGAGAGGGAGAAGAAAACTAACCAGTACAAAGTGAATATTAAAAAGTGCTCATACCCTCTTGTACCAGGAATTCCACTTTCAGAAATTGTTAGGATAATGAAGTGTGGACAGTCTTACACAAATATGCACTGCAACATTTATAGTATCATAAGAAATTTGTTAACAGATTTATACACTAGAGCTTTATATAGCCATAAACATTTATGAAGAGTTCATGATATGTGAAGTTTATACTGAGACAGTATTCTTTCCTAAATTACTATATATCAACAACAAAAGGGTAGATGAAAATAACCACTTATATGTAGGTTTTTCTGAATGGTAGACTTTGAAAGGTAAAGTTGCAAAAGTATATTTCTATTGTTTCTTACTAGACACAGTTATCTTATTAGGCTCAGGTGATTGAAATGATGTCCTCTCCCCCCCCCCCACACACACCAGGTTTTAGGGAAATTGGAGAAGGGAGGGGGTTGGTGCTTGCATACATATCAAAAGCAAAACTTCAACTGAAATCTTTCTGAAATGACTGCCTGACTGTACAGATAGTGTTGAAGGGTTGAAATCGTATTTCTTGCCTAACTTGAGGCTTTCTTTTTTTTCATGTCGAGTAACAGATTTCCATACAAAACAGTTCTGCTATAGATAACCATGGAATTCACCCTAAATATACACAAACCAGGAAGGGCCTGCAGTCCAGTAGACTGCTCCAGGTGAGTAAGACTTGTGATTTGGGACATACTATCTCATCACCCAGAACCTGTCTCCTCAGCTGCAAAATGAGAATTGCTACAGACAGGTTCCAAAGTAACTGAAGGACTATGAATGTATACACTTGTACAGGGCTTGACTTTGTTGATCAATCTACAAAGTATGTGCAAGATAATAAATTATGCTTTTTAAGAAATTCTGAAGAGGTTTTTTTTTCCTCCATTTAGGGGCTAACAAGTCAAGTGCATTAAGCCATTAGATCCAATCTTAATTTTCTAGGGTTGGTAGCAGCAAGAATAATCACCTCAGTGTGTGCTTTTGAGAGTGTGGAGAGATAGGAAGCATTTATCCAACCCACCCTACTATGCACAGTTAACAAGCTGCTGTCTTGAATAAGACAAGCTCTCACAAACCTGGTTCTGCCCTTGCTTTCAGTAAAAAAGAATGACTCTTCCATCTATGTGAAAAGGTAGGTGTAAACTCATGAGGCCAGTACATTGCTCCATAGGATATGAAGAAAGAGGCCCATCACTCTTGCTTGCTAAAAGCAAGGAAAACTTTTGAAAGTCCATATTCTTCCATTCTGTAAAAGTTGCTGGCTCACCAGATTTAGAGGAAATTTTTGTTGACGTGACACTTGTAGGAAACAAAAACAAGTGTATTTTTGCAACACGGTTTCCCAGATAATACCATCCAGAATAAAACCAACATATTTCCATCCACTCTTCTGTTGCTGTTTATTTGTTTGTTATATAATAACTCAGGGAAGAATTCTGTCTTTACTAGTTTTGTATCACTCACACTATAAACTTTGCTATATCATGAAATGCTCCATAAATGTTCAATGGATAAAGTTCTACTGTATAAATGTAAGTATGTTAACAAATCCTCTGAGATATCAGCATTATAAATATTGCAGTGAATGATTGCTTATAAAACTGTCAATTTTTTTTTTTTTTTGTGGTTCTGGGGTTTGAAGTCAGGGCCTACACCTCGAGTCACTCTACCAGCCCTTTTTGTGAAGGTTTTTTCCCAAGATAGGGGCTCACGAACAATTGGCCTGAGCTGGCTTCAAACTACGATCCTCCGGATCTTTGCCTCCTGAGTAGCTAGGATTACAGGCATGAGCCACCAGTACCTGGCTGTGTACAACTCTTTATCCTAACCTTACCATGCAAAAGGTTTCCTCTGCTCACCACATGATAGAAGCCAATGAGTTGAGAGATAAGATGGTGGCAGAGAAAGAACTTACATTATGAACAGAAGATGGCAGGAATTCTCAGCCTTGAAGTGCCACCTTTCTGGGAAACTCACTTAAAGAAGGATACATACCTGTATATATGAATGAAGGTGTGTACATATCTGTATGTATGATTAGTGATCACACACTGGTGGGTACCTTCTCACAGGTGGAGGTTTGTGACCAGTGATGCACATCTGATCCTAATCGCCTAGTCAGGAGGTGTTTTTCAGTTCTACAAATCTCAAGAACAAAGACCATTATTTGCTCTGGCTAGTCCTGTCACTGATTAGTTTGTCCACAAGCAGCTCCTGACACATTACACAATGGACAAGTTAGAGTGGGTAGCTGCCCTGAGGCCCTCTTGTTGATCAACACACAAAGGCAAGGAAAGAAAATGTATTTGACCTGATTATTGTGGAAGGCAAGGTCGGGCAAGGTTAAACAGAAGGTTGGGCATGAGATCTGGTCTCAATGTTCAGCGTCACTAAGAATAATTTCTAGAGATGGAATTACTGGTAAGACTGGAAGTTAGGAGATAGGAAACTGGTCAGGCAGGGCAGAGACAGGGACAAGTTGATGGAAACTTACCAAGGACACAGACAAGATAAACAGGTGTAGGGAGTCTTGAAACCACTTGCTCAAGAGTTGAAGCTGCTGAGGCATGGTGAGCAGCACTCGAGCCATACCCTGATATGTTGCTCTGCCAGTGTGCCAGCCCTCAGGGCCCACCGGGAAGGGAAAGGGGTCGTGCACAATGCCCCTGTGATGTCCACGGGTTGGCACATGAATGGACCAACAGCACAGAGACACAACCAGCTTCCCTTCAACCAGGAAGTAAGCATCTCTATAAAACCCCTAGACAAAGGGGCCTCAGGCAGCTCCCACGTGGAAGTTCTGCTTTCTTACTCTGCTAAATAAAACTCCATATTTTGCTCTTTCTCCCTCTCAATAAACCTTCCCGCTTTGCTCACTCTCATTGTCAGTGGTTTTCATTCTTTGAAATTTCAAGATAGAGACGGGGCTCAGACAGAGCAAGTGGGTAACACTGGTACACAGTGTATGAGCTCTTCACTCATTTTATACTACTCGATAGTTTTCTCTTTTCCTCCAGCTTTAAGTCAATGGATAGTATGAGTATCTTGCTTCATCTTTACCACAATTAATTGTATTATGACTTAATAGCTGAGAGATGATATTTTCATTAGAATAGCCCTTAAAATATGGACACTTTTTCAGAAAAAGTGGAAGTTATCAGACACCTAATTCTGCAGAAGTCATTAGGCACCTCACTTACTTACCACCTCCAATAACTCCTGTGACTTTAAAATTCTCTCCTGAGTCCTGTTCCTTTTTATCCATGTGGTCACCTTGATTCCCCACCTCTGATTTACCCCAGTCCTTAAACCTGAATAAATTAACACTGTGTCTCAAAAAATGAATCTCCCCAGAACGACAGGCCCTCACACAAAGATGCTGCCAGAACTTTATTCATGAATTGAACAGGTTTAAAATGATGTTGGGAGTTAGAACTGAGAGTAGGATTTTCTGTTCAAGTGTGGTGGCCTACTTGCAACTCCAACCACAGGGAACTTTAGCTGTAGTAGTTGAGTTTTAAGGGATTTTTTTTGTTTTGTTGGGGATCAAACCCAGGGCCTCACACCTGCTAGGCAAACACTCTACCACTGAGCTACATCCCCAGCCCTTTCTTTTTTGAGACAAGATCTCACTGTGTAGTCAAGGCTAACCTCAAACTCTTGATCCTCCTGCCTCAGTCTCCTGAGTATAGGTTAATATTACAATTATGTGCCACCACACCCAGTTATACTTTAAAATATCTCCATGTCCATTTAAACCTGTTTTCTCTCCTGCAAGGTGTTATCATCATATATATTTTTTTTAAAGCTCAGTGACCTGGAAGTCCTGATGAATATTTGTTTATTCAGCTATGGAGAGCTGAGCTAGTTGATTA